CTTATCATTCTACAGCTGCCTGAAAGGTTGTAGTGAGGTGAGGTCAGTCTCTTCTCCCATGTGACAAATGATAGAACAAGGGGTAATGGCCTCAGGCTGTGCCAGGGAAGGTTTAGATTGGGTATTAGGAACAATTTCTTCACTGAAAGGTTGCTCAGGCATTGGAACAGGCTGCCAAGGGCAGTGGTGGAGTCACAGTCCTTCAAAGTGTTCAGAAACTGTGTAGATGAGGCCTTTAGTGACATGGTTTGGTGATGGACTTGGCAGTCCTGAGGTAACAGTTGGACTTGATCTTAAAGGTCTTTTCCAACCCAGGCGATTCTGTGATTCTCCCAAATGCCCATTTGTGTAATGAGAAACTTCATACGAGGTAAGCCTAGGTGGTGCTGGCATGGACATGAGCTATGAGGCAACCATGACACAGCTGCCCCAGTTGAGACATTGCTAGCTGCCATGGTCCCAATGAATGCTCCCTAAAAGCCATCCATGCTTTGAGTCAGCTGCATGTTGTCTTCACCAGCTGCTTGGAGTTGGCTCCAGCTGAAGGTACCTCCTGCGTGCATCAGCTGAGCCCACCCACATCCTCATGTCTCTGTTCCAGGATGGCATTTTCATTACTGGCTATGTTTACTGACTCCTGACAAATCATTCTTCTCACTAACACAGAGCTGAGCTGTTGCTCTGGGCTCACCTGGATGGTGGCTCTGCTTCCAAGAGCTGTGGTTGGGTACAACCTGCCCCATTCCTCACATCAGCAAGAGGACTGGAGGACTTTCTTGGTTCTCCTAACTCAAACTGAGTGTGGGTACCAGGCTGCAGGGCCAGCCTTCTTAGGGAGTGTTTAATTATTCCCACAGGGATGACAAACTGAAATAGGAAAGATCAAAAAAGGCTCTTTCCTGAAGAGCTCAGCACCTAGTGCTGCAGCAAGTGTCTTAAGGTTCACACCTCTTGTCTGGCTCAAGGTCAAACTCTTCCACCTTCAAATCTCAACAATCTCAAAACCTTTCTGAGCTCACTGCATTGGAACAAAGAACTGAAGTGCAGCCACCTGAGAGGGGCTTTCTGCTCCTGACAGTGTTACACAGGGGTCTGGGCTTCTGCAGATAATGAGTTTGCAACTACAGGCAAATAAATAGAAGGGAGAAGCTGCTGTAGTTTGTTTTCAATCTTGAAAAGAATGACTGTTCCTTTTCCCCCTCTATCCCATTAATTAGTTTTACCTCTGGAGCTCATTCATGAGTGGGATTTCTACAGGGACATGAGCACCTCCAGGAGGCAGGGGAAGCTTCCAGCAGCTCCAAGACAGGTAACCAAGTACCAAGCACAAGAGCAACAGGCAAGGGCAAAGGCTTGATTAAAAACAATGAAGGAAGTGATGGAGGGTCCTTCCTCAGCCTCCTGGGCCTATGTCTGCATCCATCCAACTGCTTCCACCAGTGCACTGGGGGTGAGAAATGAGACTGACCCAGCCTGGGCTTCACACATCTGTTTCTCCAGAGAGGCTCACATAAAAGCCAGCATGGATTCCTGAAAAGCCTCCCTTTGCCACCCAGCCAAGCCTGGAGGAAGCTATTTATAGGAAGAGACTATATATAGTCCAGCAATGGGAGAGGCTGCAAGCAGCAAGGGCTCTATCCATGCAGGGTCCACCAGCACAAGCACCCCCAGCCACATCTCCCTCCTGTGTGTCCTTCCCAAAGACTGCAGTAACCGAGGTGGCCATGAACACAAACCCCTTCTACTCATGTGCAGCTGCAACTTGCCTGTTCAGCTTAATACTCAGGTGGGTTTATGGGGGTCTGAAGACTTTAAGCCCCACCACAACAGATGAACTGGATGTGCTGCCAGATGGCTGCTGGGCCAGGGCAGCCCAAACCAATGGGTAAAGGGCTGCACTGACCCCTTAAATGCCTTTTTGTGGGCAGCTTGACCATATGGCTGCAGGAAGCTAAGAATCATCAAACCCTGACTCAACTGGAGGGGCCAAAGGTGCCCAGCTCAGGTACAGGCACTGCTGTAAGAAAAGGAAATGAACCTCAGCCCCTGAACTAGCCTATTCCAGTAGCAGCAGCAGTGTTTTGCCTGCTGTACATCCAGTGAGCAGGGAGGGAACATCCAGCTTCACATGGCCTTTTCTCAACTACTCTTATTACAAAGAATTTGGGAAGTTAATCCTTAAATCCTTTCTGGACATATGATTTTTTGGACATTCCCTATAAAAATCCGGCAGCTGTATTGCTTTGGCAGTGCTGCCAGCCTGCACACACCTTGCCGAGGAAAGGGGCTACGCTCTGAAATGCCAGCTCTGCTTCTTCGTGCTGCTGCTGCTGGTGGTAGTAGCAGACCAGGAAGCAAATCCCAGCTGTTGGCCCCCTGGACAGCAGGAGGCTGCAGAGAAACTATTGCTCAGCATTTTTCTCACCATATTCAGCCACTACCTCATCAGTGAGGCTGATATAGCCCTTTTTAGACTATTTTCATGCTCTTGGGTTGCTTTTCCTTTCTGCTGTAAGCAGGTGATGAATGCAGCTCTAATGGCCTGAAACACACATCAGCTATGCACATCCTCAACAACATCCTCCTACTCCTGCATAAGACACTTCCAGGTCACCAGCATCTGCTGGCCTGCAGCCCTGGCCACAGCCACTTGGCTGTGATCTTTCCTTAACAGCTCCCAACTGCAACTACAACCAAAAGGCAGCCAAGGTGCAGGGGCCACAAACCAGCACAATTGTGCTCCTAGCAATGGATTTTGGGTGGTTTATGGCAGACTTCCAGCCTTGGCAAGGCTTTTTTTTAACCCCTATCAAGACATTTATCTCTGAGCTAAATGAACACCGTGTTTAAATGCTGTTCTCCTATTGCGGGCCAGCAGCGATAGAGATGTACTTGCTGGCTGGTGCAGGGTGAAACATCTCAGTTCACAACAGCAGCTGCATCTGGGAAAGCACAGCCTAAGGTGGAGTGGAGGCACCTCACCTGCTCCAAACCAGCAGCAGCAAGTCTGTTCCCTACATCTATTCATGTAGGACCTTCCCTCTACGGGTTCTCTTTCCTTGTGCCAAAGCTGAGGGCTGCAAAAGGCTCCAGAACTGCCACCCACCTGGTTTTAAAGCTGTCACAGAATCATAGAATGGTTTGGGTTGGAAGGGACCTTAAAGCTCACCCAGTTCCAACTCCCTGCCATGGGCAGGGACACCTTCCACTAGACCAGATGGCTCAAGGCGCTGTCCAGCCTGGCCTTGAACACTACCAGGGATGAAGTCCTTCAGTTCAGGCTGAACTGAAGCACCAGGGTAATTTCTTATGATGCAGCATTTTCATCAATTCAGTAACTCCAAAGCTGTAGCATTACAGCAGTATGAAGCTTTGCCTTCTCCAGTAACTTTAGCTTTTCAGTACCCAGAAAACAGCTGCATGAAGAGGCACCAGAAGAAGGGGAACTGGGTTGCAAGGAAACACACCAGCTTTATTTCCACCTCAGAGCTGTAGCACAGACTGTTGACAAGTGCATTTACCAGCCACAGACCTCTCACTTCACAGCACATAGCAACTCCCACAAGGCATCGGATCTCAGCGTTCCCTCACCCTGCCTTGACTGTGGGCAGCTGCCACAGCAGCACAACCCAGACCACTGCTTGTCACCCCCATGGTTTGTCTCTGCCATCAAGGGTAGTTAAACCTCTCCTCCCTGCTGCCTGGCAGGCTTGGCACCCGAGCAGTGAGACTTGTCCATTTCCCTGGGAAACTGAAGGCAGCAGTGCACTGTTGGGAAGCGTAGCCAGCAGCAAAACCACTTCTCTTGCAGCTCACTGGAGGGATGAACAAAAACACCTTCTGTATCTCAAGAGCCTCTGAAGTGACTTTCCTACAACAGGAGAGAAGAGAGACTTGCCGTCATATGCTCCACCCTGTAGAAAAGCATGAGACTATGACCTACTGGCTACACGTTTGTACACACCAGTTCAACATCCCAATTAGCCAGGAGTAGCGATGATGGCTCACAATGTGCCCTAGGCCATTCAACCCAACAGCAAGGCTGTGCTCAGCATGTTTTTAAACCACCTGTTTTTCAAAGCACCTCCTCATTCGTACTCAACTGTCACACAACAATTTGCTTCAGGCTTGTTCCCTGGGGATCCCATCCTCACCAGTCAAACCAGGGCAAAAGCCCTTTCCATTCCCACATGCCAGCTCCCTCCACTCAGTTTTGAATGTTTTAACTCACTGGAAATGGGAGCCAGGGATATTAGGGGTTGCATAGCAAGACCAGAGGCTGCATGGCCACGCAAGCACTGCCCTGCTGACACCAACTTTACTCCACTGAGAAGCAGAAGTCTCAGACTAAGCAAGTACTTGCTCTCCCCTTCAAGGCTCACAGCTTTTAACAAAACATAAGAGAACATCCTCACCTGGCCCCACTAGAAAACCCTCTGCAAGGAAAGAGAGTACACTCAGTGATTTTATTCAGGCTATGAACCTGCCTTTTGACCCCATAAGGTGAAGGCAGAGGAGCATCATTTTACATTGCTCGGATGACACCATTACTGTATCTCAGCCAGAAGTGCAGCTGGTCCAAGCCCCCTTCTTGGGAAGGTGAAAGATATGTAAATGAAGTTCCCACACAACTAAAATAGGGAGTATGTAAACTAGACAGGAACCTCTGAGATAAGTAGGCCACTCTCCCCTCCCTCCTCCACAGCCAGTATCTCACTCCTCCCAGCCTGCTGCTTCATCTGTCTCACCCCCTGCAGAAACCTAGCTCTGGCCAAACCTGACAGAAGGCAGCAAAGATGCCAAAACTCTGCAGTGGAAGCCTAAGAACTCACAGATGAACAGGTGGCAACCAGGTCATGCCCTCCCCTTTTGGCACCTTAACCTGTACCTCTTCCTCCACCACAGCAGAAAATCATGGGTGATTTGCAGCCCAAGGCAATATCCCTGTGCTGTCAGCAGCAACATAACCCCCCCAGCCCCATCTGGGGCTCTGCAAAGGCATTTGTGTTCCTTTATTCAATCCAGGCTGCCACAAGTTCAGACAGGCAGAAAGCGCAAGGAACCTGTTACTGTCGCATCTCAGCAAGAACCAGAGGAGCAACCGCTGTTTGCTCCAGGTCTGTCAAACAGATGCACTTCCTAACGGGGAACACAGCAGGAACACCAAGTTATCAACACTCAGCTAAGTCTCAAGCCCAGACACACCTGCTGTGTATAAGCCTAGGACAGGGCCAGGCCATTCTAACATTTCTCTCACCAGTAAGTACAGAACACCCCAAAAATCCTGCAGTTTGGGAGTTCTCATTAATCTGCTCCTGAACAGCTGTCAGATACACAGGAGCCAATACCACAGCCAGCCTGCATTGGAAAACCCTCTCCTCACAGTGTTCCCAGTACCTGGGCTCAGAGGGAGTGCTAGTGTTAAACTCGTGCTCCATCCGTCCTCCTACTTTGATCCTGAAGTCGTACTACAGCTGAGAACAGACTCAAACATCCTTGTCTGACAAAGCAGCTCAGCAGCACGCATTCCATTCTTGGGTTTTGTTATTAATTTGGTATCTCTTCCAGAGGTAAGTCTCTGCAATCATGAAAGATGAAGGTGATCCACTCCATCATGATGACATTTCCTGGGCTTTGCCTGATTGACCTTAGCCTGCTCTTGCAGTCCAGTATCACAGGCAGAAACTGCATGAAGTCTGTCGTCAAGCCATAGTGTGCTAGGACCAGGCTACGCTACTGACAGTACCAAATCCTGGAACAACTTGCTGCAACCTCTCCTGCAAGTCACCCTAAGAAACACATTAGACCAAAAGCCATCACCTAGAATGGATTTAAATGAGTTTTATTTTAGACAATCTACATGACAGATGTTTGTTGTTTTTTTTTTCTTTAAAACAATGCCTCCACTCCAAATCAGGGTCAAAATAAGTGAATAAAGCTCAAGATGACATCAGTCCAGTTAGACATTGCCAATTCCTGGTGTTGTGCCGATGAAGAAGAAACAGCAGCCAGCTATGAAGACGGGTGATCCAAAACCATACTGTTTGATTTGTTACTGAAACAAGAGTAGCAGATGTTAGTTCAAGGTCACGACAGTAAGTTTCTATAACTTACTTGTGTATTCCCTAATTCAATCTGAGCTGCCATAGGCTGGCAGGCAGAAAGCACAAGGAAGTTATTTTCGCATCATAGTGCAAACCAGAGAGCAACAGGAAAAGTGCTCGTGGTCTATCAGAGGATGCTGATCATTCTTACGATCACACAGAGCAACTGGCAGCTGCTGAGCAAGCCAGACAGGATACTCATTCATACCCTTTTTGCTTGACACACCAAGTTTCAGGTTTCCTTTCAATTAAGAGCATATCCTAAACAAGTACTGAAGCTTACAATGTACATACTGCCTCTTACAAGAGCTGTACCAAGAAGCTGTCATAGGGTTTTTTTTGCCTCCCACTAGAACACCCTGCTACTATTTCTTTTACTCCATCTTGAAGGAGATGGAGATACCCAATTTACACATCCAAAAGGTCTGCCCAAGTAGGGGAGATGAACACAAGCTTCTGCATTGAGGAGGCACCTTCCAGGTGACCTAGGCCTGCCTGTTCCAGAGTGCAGAAGAGGTATTATCTCCCCTCAGGCAGGCTGCAGGAGGTGCCGTGTCTGTTCTGGCCAATAAAAGCATTCCTTTAGTTGGGCTTGTGTTCCACACTACAAGTTGGTTCATCTTTACAAGACCTGCATACCAGCAAGCCTCTAGGAGGCTTTACAGATAAATTTAGCTGGCTATAAACAGACTTCATGAGGCCACAATGACTGGGCAAAGCAAGTGGCAACCCCACACTACCAGTCTACAGCAAATTCCATGGCACTCCAAATAAGCCTAAAAATGCAAGTGTTGTGATCCAAGGACTGTTTTGCTGCAACCACATTCCAACAAAGAGTCATTAAAGATAAAGCAGACAACAGGAGATGCCTGAGCTCAAACAGCTGGAGATTTCAGACAGTATAAGGTGAAGTACTTGATTATTACCATGTTCCCGAATTTAGGGCAATTTTTAAACACAGTTCTTGCATAACAAAAAATGGCACCAGAATAAGCAAAAGAAGGAACATGATCAAATAAGATATTTCACAATTAACACCCTGTTGTGGTGCATTTCAGAGAACATTGTCTTTAAATCACACAGTTACATCTCAGAAAGGCAATTCTTTCTGCATTTCTTAGCCATGAAGTCACCATGAACACTGCAGTGAAACTACTTCCCATTTGGTGTAACTGAATAGCACATGAGGGAAGTCTCAGGCACTGTGCGTAACACAAAGCACCAATTAGGCTGTACTGACTTCAACCTTTAAAGTTTAAGCTGGCAGCTCCTGTTCAACTTTAACAAGGACACAAGAGAACAAGTGGTGCACTGAAAGAACTAATCATGTAGTTGGGCACATTCACCCAGTACTTACACATTTCTCAATTTCTAAGCCATCCTTAAAGAAAATCATATATGGGGTCACACCATCCTCACGGAAATCCAGGAGAGCCACCATACCATCTGGATTCATGTTCTCTCCTACAAAGAACTTCAAAGAAACACATTACTGAGACATTTAATGAGCTATTACCAGGAGAAAGTGCCTTTTTACACAAGAAAGCTATAACATCTCCAAGTTCAATTTAAAACTCCCCCTCACCAGCTGCAGGGATTTTGCTTTCTGCAGCTTATCCATTTTAGTGCCACCTAAGTACCTCAGCATTCAGCACACCAGGGGGAAGGGATGCCATTCAGAGGTACCTTGACAGGCTTGAGGTGGGCCAGTGTGAACTTCATTAAGTTCAACAAGGCCAAGTGCAAGATCCTGCACCTGGGTCAGGGCAACCCCAGGCACAAATACAGGATGGGGGAGGCTGGATTGAGAGCAGCCTAAGAAGGACTTGATTGAGGGTGTTGATAAACTCAGCATGACTCAACATGCATTTGAGGCCCAAAAAGCTTCTGTATGCGGGCTGCATCAAAAGGCACATGACCAGCAGGTCAAAGGAGGTGACTCTACCCTTCCACTCTGCTCTTGTAAAACCTCTCCTGCAGTGCTGCATTCAGATCTGAGGCTCCCAGCACAAGAGGGAGACAGACCTGCTCAAGCAAGTCCAGAGGAGGGCCACACAAATGATCAGAGGGCTGTTAACACCTCTCCTGTGAAGACAGGCTGAGTTGGGCTTGTTCAGCCTGGAGAAGGTCTCCAGGGAGATATTAGAGCAGCTTTCAAGTACATAGAGGGAGTACAAGAAAGCCTGAGAAGGACTTTTTACAAGGCAATTTTGTGATAGGACAAGGGGGAATGGCTTTAAACTGAAAGAGGGTGGAACTAATTAGATATTAGGAAGACATTCTTCACTGTGAGGGTGATCAAGGCAGTAGAACACGCTGCCAAGAGAAGCTGTGGTGGTCCCCCATTCCTGGTAGTGTTCAAGGCCAGGTTGGACAGGGCTCAGAGCAACCTGCTCTAGGGGAAGATGCCCCTCCCCATGGCAGGCAGGCTGGAACTAGATGATCTTTAAGTACCCTTTTAACCCAAACATTCTATCATTCTATAGTTTTACCACACTGTTATGAAGAGCAGAGTAAGACACAGCAGGTGCCAAAATTATACATCTTTTAAGTCTTAAAACTCCTCGGCTCCTAGATGGTGCTAGCTACAAATGCAGTTCTCTACAAGCGTTGCAAACTGAAATGAGATACGCAAACACCCCAAGAAATTCTATGCTATTTCTTTTCTCTGACTCTCAAGAGTCTCTAATACCCCCAAAGAAGGGCAAGTTACATGTCCTGACTCCCAGAGTCCTCAAAATTCTCAACAAGCTAGTTCAGCCAATGAACCAACCACAGCTTGTATCACTGCCACACTACTGTAGGGAGACATAAGTTTCATTACCTGGTAGTTTTTGAAATTCGCAAGGATGTGTTTGATTTGTTCTGCAGCCCCTGTCATGAAAGGCTTTACTCTCTCTGGCTTGTGTTCCTCAAGTCTGGCTTTGATTCTGGAAAAAAAAAAAGAAATCTGAAAACATGTTCCAGCTTAATAACTCCACTGAGCAGCATCACATCATAGCAGAAAGATTTGTTAGCAGTCAAACTGTCTGATTTTGCTGCTTTTGCCCCACTCACTCTTAAAGCCCCAAAATTTTAACTTTGCTAGTCAATTAGCAGAACCGTACCTGACACTTGTGTCAAGTTCATTTTACTTCCAAGCTAACAGTAGACAAAAAAAATTGCAAACCATTTTCACAGCACAAGCAGTACTCTCTCTCAGCATCACAGCCTTTTCTCCTTTAGTACTAACCCACTGAACCATGAGCAACAGAAGTCACACCTTGAATTAGCAAAAGTTCCATTCACATGTTATTTATGGGCATTTAAACTGCCAAGTTACAAATACTTCAGTAAGCTCTTCTTCACCACCTCACCCCCTTCCACATGAACACCTGGTATTGATAAATCCAAAAGAAAACAGTAAGATTACAAATAACATTCAAAGCACATAACAGGTCCTGTACATCAGCCAAGATAATCTCAGATATTCCACTATCAATTCTTTAAAGCTCCAGTTTTGCCAAGTATTAAGACATTACTCAAGTTCACAGCAAGTTTGGTACCTGTATCAGAACTAACACCTACTACAAGAACAAAGTTCAACACTGTTTTCAAAATCTCAGCAACCTAAAACTTCTGCAATCCCGTTTAAAGAAAAAGCCTGCTGACACTTACGCTTTCATGTAATCCTTGATGTACTTCTTGTAGGATTCTTTTGTAAAGCTGGTTTCTTGCAGGTGGTGGTTTATCACTATATCAACACCAGTTATGACCGTGGCTTCTGTTCCATCTCCCTCAGGACCTTCAGCAGAGGCATTGCCACCAATTAGAGAGTCATCAATTTGACCCTCTGTCCTGGTGACCATCTAGATTTAGAGACATCAAAAAACTTAACGGCTCTGCAAAAATCTTAACGCTACCGCTCTTACACATCTATGACCTGACAGCAGGGCATGACTTCAGAGCCACAGTTAAATGCAAGGAACCTGACTGCAGCCCAAGCACAGGCTTTTTAAGCCAGGCTCCTCTCCCAGCACCTAACATTCACTACACCACCAGCACTGAACTTTCACACAGCAACCGTGGTAGCAGCCGTCTCTGTCCCAGCCACAGGCACCAGGCCGGGCCGTGCTCCCCCCGCTAGGGCCCCTCGCTGGGAAGCCAAACCCTCTCCCCAGCCCCAGGCTGGCTCTGAGTCACCGCGGCGAGGCCTGCCTTCCCTCCCCGCCATAGTCCCTTCCTGAGGTGGACAAGCTACTCACCTTCCCCTCCACTTCCAGGCACAGGCCGTTCGCCACCTCCCGGATCTTGTAGATGTCCGAGAACATCTCGTCCTCTGCGGGGGGACGGACACACACAGGCGGGCGCCGCCGCGTCAGCCTCCGCCCTTCGCGTCCCCGCAGCCGCCTCCCCTCACCGCCCTTTCGGGCCCCGCTCCGGCTGCCCGTCACCCCCATCCGGACCCAGCGCTCCAGCCCGTGCCGCACGGCCTCGGCCCGGACTGTACATTACCCCCCCCCGCCGCCGCGATCGCCGGCGCGGCTCCCCGCAGTGCACATGCGCGGCACCGGCAGGCCCAGCAGCTGGGCGCAGGCCGCGGCCAGCCGCTTCTCCCCTCCCGCCAGAGCAACCTCCCGCCCGGCCGGCCCGCCCGGCCCCCTCCCCGGCGCGGGGCCGCCGCCCTTACGGCTAATGCAGTCCCGGTAGATGATCATGGCGGCGGCAGGCGCGGCGGCGCGGTCTCTGCGCAGCGACCCGAGATCCGGCGGGAGCTCGGCGGAAAGGGCCGAGTCAGCGCCTGCCGCAGCTCATATAGCGGGCACGGCACGGCGCGTCACCGCGCACGCGCGCTCCGCCAGCTCCGCCCCGCGCGGCGCCCCCGCGCGGCTGTTTGAGGGGGGGGCGGTTGGTGGCCGTGATGGGGCGGCCTGCGGTGTGTGTGTGTGGTGTGTGTGGTGTGTGTGGTGTGTGTGGTGTGTGTGTGTGTGTGTGTGTGTGTGTGTGTGTGTGTGTGTGTGTGTGTGTGTGTGTGTGTGTGTGTGTGTGTGTGTGTGTGTGGGGGTCGGTACCACAAACCGCCCCCCCCGACCCACAGGCGGGAGGCCTGAGTGCCCCTGCTGACGGGGCAAGGGGAGCTGCAGTGGAAGGCCAGCGCCTCTTTGCCCTCAGGTGAGGCCCGGCTGTCGATGTAGCGGCCTGTGTTCCTTGAGTGGCAGTCTGCTAGGTCGCTGTACCCTGCTTCCTCAGATTTCTGAGTGCTCCACTGACCTGGCAATGAATCACAGAGTCAGCTAGGTTGGAAAAGACCTTTAAGATCATCAAGTCCAGCCTGACCAAGCACCGACCGATACCTCCTCCAACCCTGCCGTCTCCCAGCCCTTCCAGCTAACTCCCAGTTACATCCTGGGCATGATGTGCTGTGGTATGGAATACCTCTTTGGCTAGCTTGGGTCACGTGTCCTGTCTCTGCTTCCTCCTGGCTTCCCTCCTCCCTGGCAGAGCATGAGGTTCACAAAGTCCTTGGCCAAACCAAAACATCGCTGTCAGCTCTGTTCCCAGGCCGAAAGTCAAAACACTGCACTGCACCAGCTACCAAGAAGGAGAAAAATGACTGCTACTGCTGAACCCAGGACATCCTGTCACTTGTTACTTGGGGAAAAGAGACCAGCCATCTCCTCACTCCATCCTTTCAGGTAGTTGTAGAGGTTCCCCCTGAGACTTCTCCAGACTAAACCTCCCCAGTTCCCTCAGCCGTTCCTCATCATACTTGGGCACCAGACCCTTCATCATCTTCGTTGCCCTTCTCTGGATCTGCTCCAGCACCTCAATGTCTTTCTCGTGGTAAGAATGGAACACAGGATTTGAGGTGCAGCCTCAGCAGTGTGGGTACAGGTGGTGATCCCTGCTGGCTCTTCAGCTCTGGCATAAGCTCAGTTTTGAAGAAGAACCACTCTGAGCCTTTCTCAGACACCTGGAGAAGAGCTGCTGTGAGTCGCCTGCAGAGCTGGGGGTGGCACAGTGTCATCACCACTTACGTATTCCAATATGGCATTTCTTAAAATGGGTAAAACAGGTGATGTTTGGAAAAACCTGTGATGCTCCCTCTGTTCACAGCCTGATGAGGTACCGGCTGGCCTGACTGCCTTCTCCTGTGGTCTCCATCATCGGTAATGACTTAACTGCAGTGGGGCTGTCCTCACTGCTGAGGAGCTCGACACCTTGTGAGGGTTGTGACAGGTACTAAATGCTGTGCCTTCTCCAAATAAATGATTTATTTTTAATAGGCAAATAATTAAGAAGCTCTTAGACTCTTCCTGTTATTACTGCCTCAGACTAATCAAGTTGGGTATGTTTGGAGACACCACTTGTATGCTTGTGAAAGGACTGGTTGGGACAGGTATATTTTTCATTACTTTTGCAAAGATAGAATCATAGAATGGTTTGAGTTGGAAAGGACTTTAAAGATAATCCATTTCCAACCCACCTTCCACAGGCAGTGACACCTTCCACTAGATCAGTTTGCTCAAAGCCCCATCCAACCTAACCTTGAACACTTCCAGGGATGAGGCATCCACAGCTTCTTTGGACAACCTGTACCAGTGCCTCACCACCCTCACAGTGAAGAAATTTCACTTATTTACAACGACTTAAAAATAAGAGAGATTAAGCCCAGCAGTCAGGGTCAAGATGAAAGGCAGAAGCACAGTAATACCTAGGCCTCTTTTCCTCCACTTGCACATACTTCACTGCAGCAGCCTGACACAATTGAAATAAATGTAGACCTCCCTTGAACCCTTATTCTTAGGGGACATGACAAAATACTTTCAAAAGACATTATGGGACCTAAAATGCTTAATGTTTCTAATGATCCTGGACTTGACAGAGACACTAGGGCACAGGGTACAATTCCCTGTCCCTCATCCTCCTCAGGCAGTAAATTACACAAGGCTTTCTTTGTGCTCACCTTTTATCTCCTCCTCCCCTGCTATCTCTTCCTTTGCTCCAGATATCAGTGCCCCCCCTTTTTTTTCTCAAGATCATCTAGCTGCTTACATAATCTTGATTAAATTTATCAGTCATTCTCTGCTGGTTTTCACCTTCAAGAAAAAACCTTCCCCTACTGTTGCTATCTCAGACCTGAAGAAGGGACTTCTGCTCAAAAGCTTATCTGTTTTTTTTTCTAGCAGCAGCTAGCTTGATAAGAGCCCCTCTTTATACAAACCACATATCTTTAGCAGTGGGTTGAGTGACAGGGGAACATTTGGCTCCTTCTCATAGTGTAATATGCAGCTAAAAACATCCATTTAGTAGGTGTGCTTCAGTTTGGTTTTCATTTGAAGAGATTGTTCTAGAAAAAGGGATCTTCCTATAGTATCGAAACCTCTTACAAATTCAGCGGTTGGCCCTGTCTACTGGAGTCAGGGTAGAAACCCTTTGCACAAGTGATGAGACAGATGGACCTTCAGGTTGCTTTGCCTGTAGGTCTCTATTCAGAGTTGCAGCTGTGAAGTAGGAGGTATTACTTAAAAATGCGTCAGTTAAATAGGTCAAGGCTCCTGTGTGAACATCAATTTGACGTGAAGTTATGCTAAATCAATATCAAGTGGAAAAAACCTTTAAATGAGACCAGAAGTGTTGACATGACAAGGTTTTCATCCTTTTAACCTGAGTGGCTTTTAAAATTGATTCAAACTCAGACAGCTCTGAATAAATCCCAGGACTAAATTAGTGATACTTTAATTGGTGTAGGTTTTGCAAGAAGCACTTTACTGAGGTACCAGTGCTAAAAATTTCCTGTGATGCCATATTAAGAGATAATTCTGTCATGTGCTGATATTAAAAATGCCTTCCTCCCCCTCCCCAAAATCAGCATCATTTGAAGAAACCCTGAGTGTTCCACACCTGCTTTCTGTGTCTGTGCAGGCAGCCCCTTCAAACGCCTCTCATATCCAGGCAAGGTTAACACATTCCACAGTGTTAGGATAAAAAGGTAGTCCCTCTGCAGCAGGATATTTTTAGGTGGGAAATGACAGGTTATCCTGACAGTGTACTTCATCTTTGGAGACATGTGAATCCCCAAGCACTGATGAAAGTCCTGTGTTTTTATAGATGGGGTTTTTAATATCACTTGAGGTGGATTTTCTAGGCAGGTGTCCGCAGTCTCAGGAGAATCCTTTCTCATGGAAGACACAGGTCATTGTGAAGTATTGCAGTGTTACTCTCACCAAATATTAGCAACTGGGCATGATACAACTTTGTGTCTTGGATTCAAATGGCAGATGACAGCTGATACTTCACTGTTCTTTCTCTAAGTGAGCAGTACGTTTTCAGCTCATTGTGACCCCTCCCACTGAGCTGTATCAAAAGGGAGGAGATCCTGCCTGCAGCCAAGTCTCCAGCCAGGTGCAGTCAGTGGAAGGAAATGAGAGGTGGGGCTTGGCTAAGACCTAAGGGACATTCTTCTAACCTTTGTAAAAGGCTGAGACAGTCACAGTGTATATAAGTGTATAGATATATTTATCTATATTTATATAGATATATATATCTATTTATCTCTATCTATATATATTTTAATCTATGTATCTCTATAGATAGATCCTGGTAGAGAGAAACTGGAAAATAGAAGTCTAAACAACCAAGTGAGACCTGGCACTGTAGAGAGGCCTGGCAGGGCAGCCTGGCAGTGCCCAGTGCCCTCTTCCCCAGTGCATCTCCTGACTCTTGCACTGGGAGAGAAGATGCACAACAAGCCTGTGATCAGCTTGTGTCTTCACAAATCTGGCTGGAATTTATGACTGAAACAGGAGCTGGGACTTCGTAGCCCTGCCTTCCACATACCCAGATGGAAACTGTAGTTCTAACTGCTTTTGTTCAAGTTCTTTCCCCACGGGGGTTAAGGGCACTAAAGAGGTCCTAAACCTTCTTATTATTAGGTTACACAATATAGCCAGCCTTTCAGTCCCTGGCAATCCTTGGAGATTTTTGGATGTTCAGCCAAAAGTCATTATTTGGATCTACACTGGCAGTGTACTAAGACAGAGTCCCAGGTTACAAGATTGGTACTTGGAAGAACTGAACTTTGAGCATCAGTGTAGTTTATCAGGTCTGATCTATTCACAAATAGAATATGTCAGACTGGAATAGATAGATAAAGAAATCCCCAAAGAATCACTTTTTAGGATATGAGAAAGGTCTTCAGCTCAGCAACTCAGAAGAAATGCAGGTGTTGTTACACTGACGTTACAGTATTTACATTTCTTTCTGGTTCAGCTGGGTCCCTGAAAATCCTCCGCTGCTTCCTTGGCTATACACCCATAGCTCAGTTTTAGACGGCTGGCTGCACTTCTTCAAACAGACAGAGAGGTCACTGCACAGCTACGAAAAGCCTTTTTGTCTGTGACATTACACGCATCACTCCAGCTTACCTGAAACTCTCCCCGTGGGGGTGGATGTGTGAGGGTGTGCACTGCACATGCCAGGGGATGCTGAGCTGATGCTATGCTCCATATGGGCGCTCTGATGTTATGCTCTTGAGTGCAGAGAGATGTCATCAGCTACAGACACAGGACAGAGAACTGGGCAGCAGTTCTGCAGAAAACATCTGGGGTACTGGCAGATCCAAAGCTGAACCAGAATCACAGAACTATGGAATCATAGAATCTTTTAGGTTGGAGAAGACCTATAAGATTGTGAAGTCCAACTGTAAACGTAGCACTGCTAAGCCCACCACTAAACCAAGTCCCTAAGCGCCGCAACTGCATGTCTTTTAAATACCCCCAAGGGATGAGGACTCCACCACTTCCCACTGCCCACTTCCCTGGGCAGCCTGTTCCAATGCCTGACAACCCTTTCAGTGAAAGAATTCTTCCTGATATCACCTGTCTTACCTATTTTAAGAAAAGCCCATGCCATATTGGAATATATGTGGTGATGTTACATACAAGAAACTTCTGCTGTCTTAAAGATGTGAGGGGTTGAGCTCTAGTCCATGCTGCTAATACCTCCTGGAGAGCTGACTCCACCTTTAGCAGCACACTTTGGAAAAGATACGGACTAATCAGCAGGGGTTCAGAAAAGCAACAGGAATAAGTAGAAGGAATATGATTTGGTTTATTTTGCTGTAAGAGAGTTTTGGTAAGGCATTGGAAATGCTTCCCAGTACTGTCAATAGAGAAACAAGGAGTATGCTATCTACCTAGTTCTCTGTCCCTGCAGGTTTTTGAGAACAGTCCAGAAACCTGCTCAGGTGAGGTCAGAAAACATGCTAGATCTACCATGAATGACATGGGTAACAGCTGATCCCACCCCACAACAGAGAGACAGACTGCCTCTAGATCCTTTCCAGCCCTCTTCTGTCTCACCCAGTGATTCTTAGATGAATTATGTGCTGTCATTTACACCTGTTTAGGCAATTGGTTATACAGTTTGGATAAAAATAATGTTCTTATATCACTATGCAGAATGAAAAAGAGGGCTTGGAAAAGGGAAATTGTCAGAAAGGAATGTGTTTGTTGTCCTGCATGGCAAGATGGGCCTGCATGGAAGCTTTAATCCTGGTAGAGCCCCTGCTTTAGTCCTATTTAAACACAACACAGTACAGTCCTTTGACTATGACTAGAGATATACTGCAGAAAGGGTTTCTTACATGCCACACCTAAGGGGAAGGATTTGACTACTTGTGCTTGCTGGGACACTTCTTGGTCTTCAGGCAGTAAACCTGGATGTCTCTTCAGAGAGATCTGCTCTTACAGCAGTTGATTTAGAAACTTACCCACAAACATAACCCTGCTCCCCCAAAAAACATAACCCCAAAACATATAATCCTGCTCCCTCCCCCCAGTATGTCAGCACCAGCCTGGCTGTTTCAGTTGCTTTGCAAAGAATGAGGGTGGAATTCATCCTGTTTAACCTCCGCAGCAGAGATGGCTCACCACTAGATCCTTTTGCTAAGTGAGCTGAACCCAAGTTCTTACAAAGTAGCAAGGCCTGTTACTTAAGGGAAGGCAAGCTGGGTGTGTAGATGGTGGCAAGGCAGCAGTGTCCTCTCCAGCAAAGTCTCAGTCCCATGGTGCTCCAGTGAGGCCAGTGGAGCGGACAGTCCAAAGTCAAGCCAGGGCTGGGATATGCAAGACACAGGGCCAGGCATAGCACAGCTGCAGCACGTAAAGCAGATGGGGAATGAGGAAAGGGCCTGAGGGCAAACACAGCTGCTGAGACGTGGGGAAAGATGGCCCCACTGAGGCTGCTTCCAGCTCTGTCCCACACAGCTGCTGGTTGTATTGCAGTCTGGGCCAAGGTTATAACTTCTATCTTCTATGCACAGATGCCCTTCTGAAGCTGAACAGCTTTTTTTTTTTTTTTCCTGAGGCAAACTAACCTCTGTGTTTGATTTTTCTCTTTGAAGACACTGAGCTGAACTGTATCCTCAGTTAACTTAGCAACACCTACACAGAAGACTCAAAGAAGACTAGACCTCTGTGTTTTCCCTCCAGATGTAACTCCACTCATTGGGGTGCCAGTGACATACGGAGATACCCCACTAGATGGCGGGACAGGAGCCGGTGGATGGCAAGCCAGGCTCCACTTGTCTTGGTAGGAGGTTTTTCCATTGGTGTTGGTGCCATGCTGTATCACCTGGAATGCCCTAGGACCAGCACAAGAAAAACTTGATCTTTGGCCTGTAACTGATACAACCTCTCTGGGCTCCTGGCCAGTTGGATGCTGCACATAAATACCATCCTCTTTAGATAATTAGCATCCCCATGCGATGATCTTGGCTCTGTTGAGATTTTAACCATTAGAAGGGCTAATCCTGCCATGCTAAACTCACTCAGCTGCCATTTTTCAAACTGGCATTTGCTTCATGAATGTTTTGAAGCCTGAAATTGAGTTCTGCCATTTTAATGCATCACTGCATGCTTTTTAGTTCATTGTTATGCGGTGTAAGCTCTCAGTCTTGTCAATAGAGAAATAGTCATCAGAGCACGGGGCATGTTAATGGTGTTATTCCTAAAATTCTGGCACTATATTTGGCAGCAGGTAATAAATAATGAACACAGTTACAACTATAAAGCAAACCCTGTTGCAGATGTTCCAGAAAATGGCAGGAATGGCATTATAAGGAAATAGGTAGATCAACCTTTTGGTCTCCCAGTTGTGCAAAGCATCACTTTAAAATACTGTAGAGGAAAGTAGGCAACAGGACTGGAAGAATTTTGGAAAACAGTTTCCTAAATGGCAATCCATTAACTTGAGTTCTTAACACTTGTCAGCTGCAAAAATAAACCTGCTATTATTTTCAAAGATCCCAAGACAGATTGGTTATTTATTCTTTTCTGATAAGAATTTTGTGTCTATCATATTCCCCCAGTCTGTGAAAATCAAAAGGGACAAAGGATATGTTAGAGCGTTTGGAGGTATCACCCAGCTTCTGAGTGATTTAGAATTGCTCTGGCTTATATTGGTTTAGCAGCTGTGAAATGAAAGTTTTAATGGAAGGATGGTAGAAGAAGCTGTTTGATAATTGTCCCCCACAAACATGCTCTGAGAAGAAAATGCTGATCTGTTTATCTGTCTGTAGATGGCTGATAATCTCAGACACTTCAAGATTAGGGTAGGAAGGGACCTTGAGAGGTCAATCAGTCTTCTTTCAGCATGGGGATTAGTTAGACATGCACCACTCCGGAGAGATGTTTGCCTACCTTGTTTTTCAGATCTCCTGATAGTGGAGATTTCCATCCTCCCCTGCAAAGCAAACATTTACTGAAAAAGGGGCTGGGGGATGGGTTCTCCCATTCCCCTGTATTATAAATAAAGGATGGATCATAACCTGTATTAAAGTGAATTTAGGGGTCTGTCTGTTGCTCAGATCATTATGGAGCTCAGTCTGGCTCATTCTACATGGACACTGGGCTGCACAGTTCCCATATGTATAAAAAAAATTTCTGTATTAGTTGTCAGCACTTTCACACAGGATGAAGAGGATGTTGCTCCTCACTGTTTGATTCCTTCGCTTGGGCCAATGGGCACATGGAAATCTATCTGCAGGGCCATGATACTGTAGGTAGAGAGGAGAAACAGAGGAGCCGGCCCATCTCATGTGTTTCTACCAAGAAGCTTTACATATGAAAGAAGCTTAGCAGTTTAGCTAATGGATACAATTTAGGGCACAATTGCCTGAAGTGGTAATAGATACTTCTGTGAAAACAGAAGAGCAGTCCTCAGTGTTGATCACAGGACTAAACTATTACTGAAATGTTAAGAAAGAAATAGAGAATAAAACCAGAAATAGAGAGTAAAACCAGAAACATCCCTGCCATATGTATGTCTGCATACACAAGCAGAGAGTAAATACATATACATACACATACACACACATTTTGTATATAACTGCTGTATGCCTGAATATCAAATGCCTTGTGCAGTTCTGGCCTCCCAGTGTTATAAAAGTAGTAACAGTACCAAGAAGAGAGGCAAAGAGCAAAATAATAAACTGTAACAAGACACAGCAGCTTTAAAAAGAGATAGCCGGGCTGGTGGGTATGATGGCAGTCTTTGAAATTAACAGTGACACTGAGAAAGTTAAAAATGTCAATTATTCACTGCCTCTCAGCTATAGCTCTCAGGAGCTATGGGAACATCAATAAAACGATGAGGTTGCAGGTTCAGAAGAGGCAAATGAAGGTTCCTTTTAACATCCTGGGTATAGCTGTATTGTGGAACTTGTTCGAGGATGCCATGAATGCCAACATTTTAGACTACTGCAAAAGCAATTAGAAAGAATCATGGAAAAAAATGCAGAAAGAGCTATTAAGCACTTCTAGCTTATGAAGAAGTGCTTCAGGCAAGGACTGCTAAAAACCAGGAAATTTAACACTGAAATGTTACCTTCCTATGCATAGATTTGTAGGTTTGTGGGATAAAGGGTTTGGAAGAGATCTCCCATATCCTTGAATCCCCTTTATTAATGTATCAATCACATGCAGCCTCATGGAGAGATGTTCCTAGGAAGGAAGATGGAGAAAGAAGATCATGAGGAGGCTAGGGAATAATTTCTGGCTGTTTCTCTGCCCTGAAATAACCCTTGGCGAGCTGTGGGGCCATGCTGAGGTGAGGAAGTACCACTGCCCACTCTGCCTCTCCAGCTCCAGCTATCCTAATTGCAGCAGCTGCTGCCCTGAGGATTTTTCCTCGTCTAATTCTGCTGTCTCATAGTTCTGACCTGGTTTTGACATTTGAAAGAGCAAGTAAAATCCTCGTGTCAGGTGGTTTAGCTGCTGTCAGCTTCCTTACTATTTAATGGCCGAGCCCAAATGCCCAGCCAAGGTGGTGTTGCATATCCCTGGGTAAGCGAAGGATTATGGAGGTACTGCAAGGTCAGGCTGTTTTGTTTCTGCTATGCCAAGAAATCATGTCCACCCTGTGCAGTCTTCTGGGCAGCCTCAGGCCCCCTCCATCTGTCTTATTTTTGAGATGTTCTGCAGTATGGTTCAGTCCTGTGTTCCTCTACCCGTGGCTCACTGGGCATTAAATGGTAACAAATTTCCCACCTAGGACATCCTGACATATGTGTACACCTCAACCCACAAACATTGATATGTGTGCAAGCAAACAAAGTGCATCAAGAGATGGAAAAGACATATATGTACATCCAAAGTTGAGCGTGCGTATTTTGATGTTGTAAATGAAGACCACAGTAGCCACAATGTGCACAGAGGGGCAGCCACAACATCTCAGGGCAACCTGTGACAGTGTCTCACCACCCTGGCAGTGAAGAATTTCTTCCTAATATCTAATCTAAATCTACCATTTTTCAGTTTAAATCTTCTGCTCCTTCTCTTTGCCACTACAGGCCCTGGTGAAAAGTCTCTCTCCCTCTTTCTTATAAGCCCCCTTTAGGCACTGGAAGCTGCTCTGAGGTCTCTCCAGCGCCTTCTCTTTTTCAGGCTGAACAACCCCAACTTTCTCAGCCTGTTTCCACAGGAGAGGTGCTCCAGCCCCCTGAGCATCTTTGTGGCCTCCTCTGGATTCACTCCAACAGGTCCAGGTTCCTCTTGTGTTGGGTCTTCAGAGCTGAGCACAGTACTGCTGTGGGGCAATCACAAGAGCAAAGTAGAGGGGGAGAATTACCTCCCTTGACCTGATAGATTTTCCTAAAAGGTTGTGCCACTCTTCGATTTTCAAGAGTTCAACAGCTTGTGTGGGAGCACAATATGCACCTGGGACACAACACATCAATTCCTGTGGGCCAGAACTGGCATTCACGGTCACTCTTCTCTACAGCAGCAGTCAGTGCGTAACCCTCCTGTCACAGATTCTCCATGCATGAAATGAGGCTACTGATGTTTATCTACCTACTGTGAGTGCTGATGGAACAAATCGTTATTACCCTATGGTGAAACCAGGAAGAAACCCCACTGAATTAATTACTATATACAGGCGTAACTGGAGAAAAAAAGGAGGCTTGGGGGCATCTGCTCTTGCAGCACAAAGCAAATGATTCTTCACTGAGAATGGCATGAATATGGAAACTATGCAACAGATGCACTGTGCTGAACAAATGTATGTAAATGATTCTGCTTGTCTATTTGGTGTACTTCCTCACTATTCATGAGAGGTTTTGTGCTGAACGTCCACAAGAAAAGCTAAAGAGTTGGTTTTGGTTCCAGTGAGTGCTGCAGACATGTGTCAAGAGCATGCAAGGTATGGTGTGCTAGTGCTGCCTGGAGCTGTGGTCGGCCCCTAAATGTCAGGATAGAATTTGGCCTCTGCTTTCAAACTCCTCTGCAGCAAGACAAAGGGGTCAAGCCCCGGCCAGGGACCTAAGAGCAATGCCATGGAAACTGGGACAGTTTTTTTTCTATTAATCTGAGCTCATTACTCACTCCTTTGGATTTCTGCTGGCAGCCAGTGCTATTTAAAGACTTGGCTTTTGTGCACAGCCTATACTCACATGCATCATATAATAAACACAGTCAGAAAAAAAGCAAATTCTCCGTTTGTTCATTGAACAGTTTTGCTGATGACGATCACGAAATGCACCATTTCAGATTCTGCATGCAGTCCTGATTTATAAGCACTAAATTTGGGCTTCCATCTTTGGGGTTCAGTCCCTTTATTCATAACATGTACCTGTGGGCAGAAACTCTGACCACACAGAAGTACCTTGCGGACTTATGACTAACAGCTCAGAAGGGCAATATTTGGGATGAGATCCTTGATGAAGCAGGCTGAGTATTACAAAGTATGTAAGAATTGCAGCCTGTGCTCACAGTTGCAGAGACACGAACAGCAAGAGGCACTGCTCCAGCCACTTCTCATTGCCAGTGCAATTTCATTTGTATTCAGGATTTTGAAGCCCTTTATTTGCCCTTTTACACCATTAATATGAAGGACCTACTACCTTAAAAACTGTAACTTGGAATAGCTATGGATTTACCAGGAGGCACAAAAGGGAGAAAGACAGGTTTGTGCTGTCCCCCCAGTATCTCAACAATACTGTTATCATCCATGTATCTATCTCAAAGAATTAAACATTATATTAACAGACAATGTTATCTACAATGTTAACATTAAGTAATAAGAAGTATTTTTAATATGAAAACTATGTGAGACTGCATATCCTGCACCCATGGACTTGCATATATAACTACTCTTGGAGAATGTACTAGTGATCAGATAGCTTTAGCCTTTTAATTGTAACTTTAGTCTTTGAGAGGTGGTGAGCTTGTGACTATATGTGCTCACGTTCTGTCTGACACAGTAGTAATATTATCATAGTATCAAAGAATCATTTAGGTTGGAAAAGACCTTTAAAATCATGGAGCCCAACTGTTACCCCAGGACTGTGAAGCCCATCTCTAAACCATGTCACTGAGAGCAAATTGATTTCCCATCATGATCTTCAGAGTCACACCTTATGGCTGCTCCCTTATAGTAGCGCCACGCCATATAGCTGCTGCCCCTACCCTTCATGGCCACCCCCCCTCTCCCCTTAAGATCTCCCCCAAGATCTCCCCTCATGGCCACGCCTCACAGCCCATGGTTGCCCCTGGTCTCACCTCGCGGCTCTCACCGCTCATGGCTGCCCCTCCTGTCCCCTCACAATTTCCCCTCCTGTCCCCTCACAATCTCTCCTCACGACTGTCCCACCTCTCCCCTCACAGTCTCCTCTCATCCCTCATGGCTGCCTCTCCTATCCCCTCATAATCTCCCCTCACAACTCATGATTGATGCACCTCTTCCCTCATGATCTTCCCTCATGGCTGCCCCTGCTCTCCCCACACAATCTTTCTTCACCCTTCATGCCCAC